GTTATGTTACTACGCTATAGAAGCCCATCGCGAAGCAGTCTAGTATGGACCCGCGTGGGCATCCGCATAATGTCGTTTCTAATATAAACTTCGATCAACAATAGCAGAGTGAGAGCATAAAATATAATGTTAATAAAAAACAATGAAATTTAGGGCTTACTTGATTTTCTTGGTCCAGGTTTAGGCGTCTTTTTATCGACTAAGGCTTCACGTTCAACTGGCGATTCTGACCCTGACTCCTCAAACGCTACAAGAGAAGGTTAACTTGCGTTATGCTGAGTCACCAGTGTTAAAATAAAAATAAAACCATGTTTAAAAACCAACTTTAAAAATCTAAAACCCAAATTTTTTGAATCGTTGCCCCCCACTTGGATTTTCTCCTGTGTCGTGTGTGCGTTTACAAACATACAAGTTCACATGCACGTGACACCCAGACCGGAAACAATAATGTGTGGATCACATAAAGAGTTGCTCCGTGCGGGAATCGAACCCAACTCTCGGCAACTGTCTACTGCCAGTTGCCCAGCCACCGCGCCAGCCTTGTAGTCAAATAACTATTATCATTGTACTGCCTACCCACCGATAGTTCAGAAATCTGTGCTCCAAGTCTAAAATAAATTATATTGGGAAGTAAATATCTATTGTAGATTTGTAGATGACGTATAATATATATGTATATATAGTTATATTTGGCACGTTTATATGGACTCACACTATGATATTTAATAAAAAGTAATTTAGGGCTTACATGATATTCCTTTAGGCGATTCTGTCCCTGGTGATCCACCTTCTACAAGAAAAGTGAATGTATTACGTTGGGTCATCAGCATTGAAAGTCAGTTTGCAATTAGATGAAAATTATGTTTTGTTAATATTCCGCATTCGCAGTAATTCGCCTGCATTTCGCAGTTTCAGCCCCTAAGGCTATGCGACAGATGTCCGTCGCGGAGCAGTTTTATATGGACACGCGAGGGCGACGGGCGGGCAAAAATATGATGTATTAAAAAGCAATTAGTACTTGATTTTCCTGGTCCAGATTTCGGAGGTTTTTTGTCGACTACGGCGTCACGTCCAGTTGGCGATTGTGTCCCTGAAGGTAGACACTCATCATACGCTACAAGAGAAGGTTAATGTGTATTACTTAGTTACGTATTGTACAGAATTGTACTTCCTACACCCTGATAGTTTAGAAGAAACCAAATATTAAAAAGTAAAAATCTATATCCATTAGGCTGTTTCAAATTATTTCGGTAAGGTATCGGTAAACTATATTTGGCACTTTTGTATGGACTCGCAATATGATCTTCAATAAAATAGCAACCTGATTTTCCTGATCCTGATCCGGATTTCGACATTCTTCTTGAAGCTGGCGATTGTGTCCCTGGTGATCCACCTTCTACAAGAAATGTGAATGTGTTACATCGGGTCACCAGCATTGAAAGTCAATTTGTATTTAGATGAAAATTATTTAGATGAATATTCTGCTTTCGCAGTGATCAGTATCGTCTGCATAACGCAGTTTCAGCCCAAGGCTACGCGACGGAAGCCCGTCGCGGAGAACTTATGAACCCGCGCGGGCGTCCGTGTAATCTAGCGTTTTTCTAGCGTAAAATATGATGTTCAGTAAAAAACAATATACATGTATGGCTTACTTGATTTCCCTGGTCCAGGTTTTATCACTTTTGTTGAAGTTGGCGTTTGTGTCCCTGATATTTGGCCCTTATCATGCTCTACAAGAAAAGTTATTGTGTTATGTTGGGCGAATAAAACCTCATTTGTATTTAGTCTTAGATTTACACGGAGATGCAAATTAAGTTGTATTAATCTTCCGAATTCGCATTAATTTCGTTCGCGAAATCGCGACTGCCATTATCATCGTGTGATCTCGCGGGGTAATGGTTTGTTATGTGTCGCCATTTTAACTTTAATAGTATGCATACTCGTTGTACAGTCGTATCGATGGGAAACTTAATATAATATTACGTAGCAAAACTAAGACGACTATTAGATAATTAAAAAAGACAGCAGGTTGTGAGTAGTTTCCAGCCTGACGATGTTCAATAAAATAAATTAATGGCTTACTTGGTTTTCCTACCCCAGCTTTCGGTGTTTTTTGTGAAGTTGGCGATAGTACTCGAGGTGATGGACTCTCTGCAAGAAGAGAAGGTTAACGTGTGTTATGTTGGGTCAAAAAAGCAATTAATTTTACAGCTCCATTTCCCCCAAGTCCTTCCCCGTCATCGCACGACCAGACAACTATCAAACCGCCACTTTATGATGATGAATAATAATAAAACACCACAAACGCGCGCACGAATTTACCCCTAAACAGTAACTTAACTAAAAGCCACTTAGCATGAACCTATACTAACACTATAGTTTTACTGTTAGGTATTACTTGTAGAGGTAGGTTAGTGAAAACAAAAATGATGTTAAATATCACCTACCTTAAGTAGCTTTTCGGTGTTTTACAAATTTAGAAGGGGTTGGTAAAATAATTTTCACGAACCCTGTATTTCCCAGCTTTACATTGGTAAATGAAACTCTTTGCCAGAATCCAGAGCCATATTATCTCTAAAGCAAACTAGGTAATTGCCTAGGGCGCCAAATTACAGTGAGGCGTCGCGTCGCCACATGACGTGCATACCCTTAGACTGACAGCGGCGCCACAAATGTAGTCGCGCTCATAAGCTGCTTGTCTAGGGCGCTCCCTAGGTTCATACACCTCTGTCAGAATCTGTATTTGTAGGTGACAGGTGGTGTCTTAAAGGCCCGAGTGAATAGGTTGCTTATGAGCAGGCGTGCTACATCGTAGGCCGCATCATCGCGTACCAAAATAATCGCTTTATAAAAAAGAAGAATTCCTTAACTAACTGACCAGATTCTCCTGGTGATTGTTTCAATTTCTTTGGAGTTTCTTGGTCCCGTGAAGATTCTGAGGAGTCTGGACAACAACATGTGTTCTCAGGTGCTGCAAGAGAAAGTTCTATGAGCTATATTGTACCAGTCTAACATATTGTCTGGCTGGAATATGATCCTTACTATTATAAATGGGAAAGTGAGTTTGTTTGTTTGTTTGTTCCGACTTCACGCCGTAACTAGTAAACCGATTGCATTGAATTTTTGCAGACGTAAAGTTAGTAGTCTGGATTAAACAATAGGGTACTTTTTATCCCGAAAAAATTGATATTCCCGAGGGAAAACAAAAGTATTGGTATAGATGGCGCTGTATGTATTAGTATATGTCACATAGACTACTTTTTATCCTTTTGTGACGCGAGCGAAGCCGCGGGTAAAAGCTATCCTTACTTCCTTACTATTATAAATTTATTTATTTATTTATTTTTTATTTATTTATAATTCATGGAGGACTTACAGCATATAAAAATGGATAAAAATAACAATAGGCGTAGGTAACAGTGAGCCAATAACAAGTCCTCACGTTTAACATTTGAAATAAATTAATTAATATGGTGTGAGTACTATAACACAATATTAAAAATACATACATTCTGCGTAAATGGAAAAAAATAAATATTGAAACAGACCGTACAGACAATATGATTATGAACAGATCAAAAGAAACGATAAAAAAAACTAAAGATCTAGTGCTGCTTAAAAAATTTAAGGCTTAAGCACCTCTTTGCCGAGTTCACACTAGTTGTAAACGGATCGAAGTCATATTCCTTACAAACATTGTTAAAGTGTCTGCTTGCACGCATAATGTAACTGTTCTGCCTGTAGTTAGATGAGGAACGGGATACGTGTAAAGGTGGATTAAATCTAAATATTTTATTAGGTACATTAAATTTGATTTTTGATAATAGTTCTGGACTATCCACATTGCCGTTAAGAACCTTAAACAAGAATAGACAATCTGCAATATTGCGTCTATCTACCAATGGTAATAGATGGAATTTTCTACAGAGTTCAAGATAACGGGCAGACTGGTATGGTATATTTTGGTGGAAACAGAGATATTTTATAAAACGTTTTTGAATGTTTTCCACGCGGTCAATATATTTTTGATATCTTGGATTCCATACCTGAGACGCATACTCCAGCTGGCTCCTGACATAAGTGCAATATAATATTTTAAGGGTCTTTGCATCAGTGAAATTTTTTGAAAGACGCATTATAAATCCTAGCAGTTTAGAGGCTTTTTTGACGATTGCATCAATATGTGTATCGAAAACCAATTTGCTGTCTTGATGGACGCCTAAGTCACGGATAGAAGTGCATCTTGGTAAGGGCTGACCCGCTAAAGTGTAATTAGTGACATGGACAGTACGCTTTCTAGTGTAAGTGACTACGGAACACTTAGATGGGTTGAGATCCAGTTTATTTATCCGACAATACTCTTCAAGCCGATGCAAATCCGCCTGGAGTGCCAGACCATCGTCAGGAGTTGAGATAGTAGCTGACAGTTTCATGTCATCAGCAAAACATAAAAGTTTGGATGTATGAAAGCACTTGTTGATGTCGTTTACATAGATCACGAATAGAAAAGGACCGAGCAACGATCCCTGAGGTACTCCGCTGGGTACATTTACCCAGCTAGAAATGTAGTTATTGAGTACTACTGCTTGTGACCTATTGTCGATGTATGAAGCGAACCACCTCAAGAGGTCGCCGCTGATGCCTGTGTCAATAAGCTTCTGTAACAGGATATCATGGTCAATCCGGTAAATGGGAAAGTGAGTTTGTTTGTTTTTTGTTTGTACCGACTTCACGCCGTAACTACTAAACCGATTGCATTGAATTTTTGCAGACGTAAAGTTAGTAGTCTGGATTAAATAATAGGGTACTTTTTATCCCGAAAAAATTTGATATTCCCGAGGGAAAACAAAAGTATTGGTATAGATGGCGCTGTATGTATTGGTATATGTCACATAGACTACATTTTATCCTTTTGTGACGCGAGCGAAGCCACGGGTAAAAGCTAGTGTTCAATAAAAAGACAATAGATGGATGGAGGGATGACGACCTGTACAGTAATATAAAATATTAGACACGCGTAGCGCGGGAATTAAAATTTGATTGAAGTTAACCAAAATTCCCACCAAGCTGAAAATGGGTAAGATTGTTTAAAACATATCATTAAAAACTTTGAAAGATTGAATCTGTCCCCTGTTTTTATGATAAACTTACCGTTTTGCTGAAAATTGCGAAATACTCATTTTTTTACCTTTTGACCTTGAATATTTTTTCCTTACTGGGGAAAGATGGGGAACTTGTATAATACCAGCGACCCGCCCCGGCTTCGCACGGATTCAATATGCATATATCATACATTATAGACCTTCCTTAAGAACCATTCTATCTTTTTAAAGAAACCGCATCAAAATCCGTTGCGTAGTTTTGTAGATCTAAGCATACATACAGACGGCGGATAGCGACTTTGTTTTGTACTATGTAGTGAAGTATAAAGTATGTCGGAACCGGTCATGAGTGGACATGGATGCTAAGTGGAACGCAAGCGCGCCACCTAGCGGATTTCTGGTGTGTTTAAGCAGAGTCGTGGCGTCGGAGTTGCATTCGGCGGAGCTCACTTCAGTTCAAGTCGCCACCGAGTGAAGACGTTGTCACGAATCTGCCCTACGATTCGCTTAGTGCCCAGTTACTGTACCTTGTGATTATAAGAAACTCACTGATGATTTCTAAACGCTTTTCTTATTTACAGAATACTCATATCCGCTCACATTATGTTTGAGCAACCGGAACATAATCATGCCTCCTCCGACATCAGAAGAGGGATGGGTGTTGCCGCCTTCGACAAGTATACACTGTTAAATTTTAATCGTTTTAATCCCTTGGAGGTTCGAACTGGTCCATGAAACACTATCGATTTGTAAAGATAAAATTAAAAAATAAAGTACTTTTTTTTCAATAACTCGAATCAATTCTCGCATGAGTGAATAAATAATGCGAACCGTTAGTAGGCAGCATTCCTATCAGTAACAACCTAACAACATTGACGCGGTCGCTGGTCAACGTGAACTCGCAAACATCAGTTGATCGAGTCAATAGCCGCCGTGTAGCAATACCTACACTGCCCGACCGTCGACAATACGCAACGACCGACGACGACGTAGGTAACTATCTCGTGGCGCAACTTTTGGTTTCATACATTTTGCGAGTATAATCTTATCATTTGCTAATTTATTTATTTTTTATGTTACACCACAGTACAAGCTTGTAATGAGTAGTATTCTGGTAGTTAAACCACACAATTAAAACGACTAAAATTTAACGGTGTTTATTAACGATTTTGTTTTGCCAAATTGTTTGTAATACGCATTTAATCATTTTTCATTGTACCTGACTGACCTTTTACCGCTTTTACTGGTTTGGCTGCTTTTTCAGGTTTTCTCGCTTTTTCTGGTTTTGGTGGTTTTTCTGGTTTTGCTGGCTTTGCTGGTTTAGCTGGTTTCTCTGCTTTTCCTACTTTTCCTGCTTTCTCTGGCTTAGTTGGAGATTGTGAGCCTGGTGACCCTACAAAAGAAGTTTAATCTGTGTTAGATATTTTGGCGTAACTAGAACTGGAAAACCTAATTTATATCTTGATAAATATAATAATGTTACACATATAAAAGTGAATAAAGAGAAAGAGAGTCGTATAAGTTACAAAGTCAAAGTTTAAAGTCAAAGCATTTATTTCAATTAAACCATAGTTTGGTCCTTTTGAAACGTCAACAAATACAAAATAAATAATAGTCTGTCAGACAGTCAGTCAGTCCAAAATGTAGATTCGAATGGAGAAGAACGAGCAAGAAACTCCATTCGTTAGTACTCTTTTTTAAAAAGTATGTTCTACAATGTCTCTGATACATATTCCAATACTGTACGCATATGTAAGAACAATGCAAAGAATACACAATTTATAACTCAAGAACGACTAAATCGATTTTACTTAAAATTGTTGGGAGGTACCTTAGAACCAGGAAATGAACCTAGGATACCAAGGATATCTCAAAAATTCTATGGGAACGAGAAAAATAGGATTGCGTAATGTCGCGAACAGACGCTAGTCTTCAATAAAAAGCAATTCCCTACCTGTCTTACTGGATTTTCCTGATCCAGGTCTCGACGATTTTGTTGATGCTGGCGATTGTGCCATTGGTGGTTGACGGCCTAAAGAAGAGAAGGTTGTTATGTTGGGTTAAAAAGCAATTAATTTTACAGTTCGATTTTCCCAAGTCCTTCCCCGTCCACGACCAGACTACTGTCAAAGCGCCACCACTTTATGATGATGAATACCGCACTCACTCGCTCGAAGTGTTTGTCTAAAGTAAACCCTACTGTCCACGTTGCGTTATATCAAAAAACGCTACGTAAATATGCATTCGTCAGAAACAATGAAACGAAATTTAACATCGCCGCTTTGCGGACAGTTTCTATTGCTTCTAAGCCAGATGCAAGCATTTGTCATTTGTAGGCCGCCTATTGTTTGTGAAGGATGCATGCATTCGTCGTATGGCGCAACGTGGATAGTTACTCTCCTAAGGCTCATTATCCACGTATCGCTTTTGTTAGAATAGGCTAGATGACAAATTTTTAGTTTAATCTGAGTACTAGATATTTCTGCGCGGTTTCACCCGTTCTGCCTAGCATCTATTAATCGTAGCTATATCGTATATATTAATCGTAGTAATAAAAGGGCTATCCGATACAAAAAGATTTTTTCAAATCGGACCAGTATCTGTATCTGACATTAGCGCGTTCAAGCAAAAAATAAAAAACTCTTCCGCTTTATATGGTAGCATAAGATTGTTTTGTTACAAGATGAAATAAAAAATACGTATCTAATAATTATTTATTATCTAACTGCCTTTGATTTTTATACTCTATCATCATCCCTACTCGACCTGACTCACATGGTTTTCCTGTTTTTCCTGCTACTGCTGCTTTGTCTCCTTTCCCTGCTTTTTCTGCTTTTCCTTTATCTTTCTTAACTGGAGACTGTGTCCCTGGTGTCCCTATAAAAGAAGTTTAATCTGTGTTAGATATTTTGGCGTCACTAGAACTGGAAAACCTAATTTATATCTTGATAAATATAATAATGTTACACATATAAAAGTGAATAAAGAGAAAGAGATTCGTATAAGTTACAAAGTCAAAGTTCAAAGTCAAAGCATTTATTTCAATTAAACCATAGTTTGGTACTTTGAAACGTCAACAAATACAAAATAAATAATAGTCTGTCAGTCAGTCCGTCAGTGAAATTAGGTGAAGCTAGGTGCTCATTCCAAAATGTAGATTCGAATGGAGAAGAACGAGCAAGAAACTCCATTCGTTACTCTTTTTTAAAAAAGTATGTTCTACAATGTCTCTGATACATATTTCAATACTGTACGCATATGTAAGAACAATGCAAAGAATACACAATTTATAACTCAAGAACGACTAAATCGATTTTACTTAAAATTGTTGGGAGGTACCTTAGAACCAGGAAATGAACCTAGGATACCAAGGATATCTCAAAAATTCTATGGGAACGAGAAAAATAGGATTGCGTAATGTCGCGAACAGACGCTAGTCTTCAATAAAAAGCAATTCCCTACCTGTCTTACTGGATTTTCCTGATCCAGGTCTCGACGATTTTGTTGATGCTGGCGATTGTGCCATTGGTGGTTGACGACCTAAAGAAGGAATGTTGGGTTAAGAAGTAATTAATTTTACAGTTCGATTTTCCCTCGTTGGCCGAGTGGTCGCGAGTGCGACTGCCGGGCAAGGGGTCTCGGGTTCGATTCCCGGGTCGGGCAAAGTATTACTGGGTTTTAAAAAAATTCTCAGTAGTAGCACGGAGTCTAGAAATGTGCCCGGTATATGGCTCACCCCCTATTACATGAGACTCATAACATAAATAGTGAAAAGTGGGTGTAACTTCTGTGTGCACCTCTGCCTACCACTTCGGGGATAAAAGGCGTGATGTTGTGTGTGTGTTCGATTTTCCCAAGTCCTTCCCCGTCCACGACCAGACTACTGTCAAAGCGCCTCCACTTTATGATGATGAATACCGCACTCACTCGCTCGAAGTGTATGTCTAAAGTAAACAATACTGTCCACGTTGCGTTATATCAAAAAACGCTACGTAAATATGCATTCGTCAGAAATAATGAAACGAAATTTAACATCGCCGCTTTGCGGACAGTTTCTATTGCTTCTAAGCCAGATGCAAGCATTTGTCATTTGTAGGCCGCCTATTGTTTGTGAAGGATGCATGCATTCGTCGTATGGCGCAACGTGGATAGTTACCCTCCTAAGGCTCATTATCAACGTATCGCTTTTGTTAGAATAGGCTAGATGACAAATTTTTATTTTAATGTCCGTCTGGTAGATTATTTAAAAAAATTACACGTATTTTTTATTTTTTTACGGAAACGAATAGTTTCGGAGATATATTGATTCGGAATGTCGCATGACGTCATTTCTATGTGCATTTTATACGTAGAAATGACGTTTTAGCCCCCACTCCTAAACTTTGATTCGATAAAGCTAAGTATCATTTTAACATACAACAAAATAAATAAATACGTGTCTAATATTTTTTCATTACCTAATAGACGGACTAATTACATTTTTAATTTTCATACCCTATTGACGATTCTATGATGGTTACAAGATGAATGCTTGCATCTTGCGCAGAAATGATCGAAACCGTGTCCATGTAGCGGCAAAAGAGCACCTAAACTAACACTATACTTGGACTGTAATGCTTTGTTCGCGCTATTCTAGTATTTTAGTCGAGCAGCGACTGTTTAGTAAATTCTTCTCGCTTCTGTCCCAAAATCGAAGCGAGAGGGAGTTACTAAATACTCGCTACTTGACAAAAATACTAGCATAGTGAGAAGGCATTAAGTATTTCTTGTAGGTTAGTGAAAATCAAAATGACGTTAAATTTAACCTACCTTAGGTTAAGAGAGTTTTTTTTAATTTTAAATTCTATTCTATAACTGTCAATTGGAAGTGAACTCATCGTATTCTCACCCGTCATTGGTCGTGATTTTTCTCAACACAAATGACATAGTGGACTGCAATCGATCACTTCGATCTTTCGAATTGAAAGTTACAGCCTAGCTACTAAATAACAAAATTCTTCGCCAGAATCCAGAGCAGTATTATCTCTAAGGCAAACTAAGCAAGTGCCTAGGGTGCAAGTTACGGTTACAGAGACGCGCCACGACGTAGGTACCCAAAGAGTGACAGGGGCGTAAAAAAAATATTAGGGACACTCATGACTTGCTTTGCCTAGAGCGCTCGGTTTAATACACCTTTGTCGGAATCTGGTGTCTTCAAGGCCCGAGTGAATAGTTTGCATACTGGCAGGTGTGCTACATCGTAGACTGCATCATCAAAATAATCGATTGGTAAACAAAGAAAACAATTCCTTACCAGATTTTCCTGTTGTCGATTCTGTGGACTCTGGACAAGCACAAGTGTTCTCGGGCTCTGCAAGAGAAAGTTTTATGTTATATGTTGGGCCAGCTAGCATCGAAATAAAATTATTTTTTATAGCTAGAATGATGTTCAATAAAAAATTAAAAAGCAATAGGATGATGACTTATTTAATTATTATTCTGCTAGATTAATATAAAACATAAGGGTGCGTCCACAACTGGCGAATGCGCCGCGAATGTGCCGCTGACGAGCCGTTTGCGGGCTGCCCTCAAGCTGCACTCACGGCAATGGTTTGGTGCTTAACTCATACAGGGTTCGTAAAAAATAATATTTTAGTTTCAGTTATATACAGTTATTCATTTATATAATAGTTTTAGTAATCAAATCAAAAACCTTTCGCGATTCGAGATATCGCGAGTTATCACACTGCTAAACTTTAATTAGTTTAATCTGAGTACTAGATATTTCTGCGCGGTTTCATCCGTTCTGCCCAGCTTCTATTAATCGTAGCTATATCGTATATATTAATCGTAGTAAGAATGGGTTATCCGATATAAAAAGATTTTTTCAAATCGGACCAGTATCTGTATCTGACATTAGCGCGTTCAAGCAAAAAATAAAAAACTCTTCCGCTTTATATAGTAGCATAAGATTGTTTTGTTACAAGATGAAATAAAAAATACGTGTCTAATAATTACTTATTATCTAACTGCCTTTGAATTTTATACTCTATCATAATCCCTACTCGACCTGACTGACCTGCTTTTCCTGTTTTTCCTGCTACTGCTGCTTTGTCTCCTTTCCCTGCTTTTCCTTTATCTTTCTTAACTGGAGACTGTGTCCCTGGTGTCCCTATAAAAGAAGGTTAATCTATGTTAGGTATCTTGTGGCAACTAAAATTGAAAGAAAACTATATTATTAAACAAAAAAAGAAAAAGAAAGAAGTCGTGTTAAATTGGTGGGAAGCTACCTTAGAACCAGGAAACGGACGTAGGATACTTTATACAAGGATTTCTCGAAAATCCTAAAGGACAGGAAAAAAACGGAAAGACGTAGACAAGGCTAGTGTCCAATAAAAAGGTAATTCCCTACCTGGCTTACTAGATTTTCCTCCGCCTGCTTTCGCCATTTTTTCTGTTTCCTTATTCAAACAATCTATGAGCATCTTCATTTGCTTCTTGCAAGCATCAGCGTCAAAATTCGCTGAAGAATTTACGGCGGCCAATTTTTTCTTCATTTCTTGTTCGATGCACTTTTCAATATCAAAATCTTCTGTCAGTTGCGTTTCCTTATTTTTTCTCGGATTCGTTTGTACGGCTATCTGTCCCTGTTTCGATTTGCCCTTCTTATCAGTCTGACTTGAAACAGGTTTATGTTTCTTCGACATTATACAAGGTATTCTCATCTTTTTATTTTCTTTTATTATTACTGTTTTAGGTTTTTTTTCTATTTTGTTCGGGCATGTCGATTTGGTGCACGAAGGTCCAAATAAAGAAGAGCGTAAATTCTTTATCATAACGATAGGTGTGTGGCATTTATCAGATATAGACCTAGAAGGCAAAGGAGGTTCAATTATTCCAGAATTATTAAAAACACCGAACTTGAAATTACTGGCGATAAATTGGCATAGATTGTAAGTGGGGAAGAGCCATGCTTCGGCACGAATGGCTGGCTCGACCGGAGCGATACGAGGGCCACACAGAAAACCAACGTGAAGCAACGCTTGCGCTGTGTTTCGTCGTGTGAGTGAGGTTACCGGAGGCCCAATTACCCCTCCCCCCGTCTCCCCAATTCCTGAATCCCCAACAATTTTCACTTGTAACGCGTCTGGTGTTGCGGGTGTCCATGGGCGGCGCCGATTGCTTACTATCAGGTGATCCGTCGGATAGTTTACCGGCTTATCCCGTAAAAAAGAAAAAAAATGTCTTTTACAATCCATCAATACAATTGTCTGTAGCTACTGTTTTGTTATAAAATAAATGTATTGTTTACTTTTTACAATATGTCCATTTCTTTTGGATATCATCGTAAATGTCACAACGGCATCGACTAGCACCTGACGATGGTTCCAAGCACTTCTCATCCTTGCTATGAGATACAACTGGAATAGATATACAAGAGGATTGTAGCAAAACCAGTATAACCGTACCGACGAATGTTCGGAAAGATGGTATGAAGCAAGACCATGACAAATTGGTTTTGTATAGCCAAGTGAGCATCATTCATAGTGACATGGTTTGGTTCCCGAATTTCGAGACAGTAAAGGTTATGGTATAATGAAACTCTTCATTAAAGTTTCCCGCTTATTCATTAGTCCGGCAATTTACTAATAATACAACCAATGACAACAGAATTTGCTATGGTAGGTATATATGCAATGCACTTCAGTTAACCTCTTTCAGTTATGAGGTGGAGATAAAGAAAGAGAGAAGTATTTAGGAGATGGAAAAGAAAAACTATGAAAAGAGATTGAAAATTAAAAGATACACACTTAATTGTTTTTCGAGCAGCGTGTTACTCGAGATAAATTTCGAGGTCTGTGCTACGCCTTCGCAGGGTTCCTGAAAAAATATACTTATTTTTTTTAGAAAGTACGGCTTCTTAAAAAATTGAATTTGTCATGTAATGATGTTTGGAAATGTTATTACTTTTGTCTTGTTTATGCAAGAAGAAAAAGACGAAGAATGAGAAGAATAGAATTTGGATTAATATCAGAGGGCTTAGGGCGAGTTTGTTTTCACTCATTCAGCGCTGTGTTAGGGCTATAATAGGGGCCCTGACACCCAGAGGATTATGCAACCAATGGGGTCTACCGTATTCTTGCTCACTATACAGAATGAGCTAGTGACACATCATAAAACGTGTCATATTTTACAGTTGTTGTGATTGGACAAAAACACTTCATCCAACATCATCACAAACATTTGCGCCATCAGGTAAGCGGTAAGCAAAAGAAACGATAGCTCCATTATGGAATTACTTTTTAGATTATAACTTTCTGCAAAGTGCTCAATATTGTGCCATATACTCGTAACTAGTTGGTTGAAACTGATTACTACGCCATGTGTGTCTGTATATTCTATGTATCTGTTGTCAAAATACGCATACGCTCTAGTCAAATTTAAGTCACGCTTAAGTATAGTTTAAGTTTAGTTTGGTCACTACAATAGGATAGTTTCATCATCATCATCATATCAGCCACAGGATAATTTCCTTAATTTTATTTTAATCTCCGTCTGGTACATTAATTTAAAACTTTAGACAGTTATTTTTTCTTTTCTCATAAAATTAGATACTTTCGACGATATATTAATTTTAAATGTCATGTGACGTCACAGCGTGTCACATTTTGTACCACGTTATGACGTAAGGACCTCCCACTCATAAACTTAGTGCCATTTTATCTAAGTATTGCAACTTAACACGAGAAAATAAAAAAAATCGTGTCTAATATTATTTCATTATCTAACTGACGGACTAATTAGATTTCTAATTTTGCAACCCTGGAAACTACCCAAATACAGAGACGGCACGATATTTAAGTGCAACTGAAAGTTGAGTACCCTTTCATTATTCGGGCGTGTATCTCTTTAGTCTTACCTCGCGGAAATCACTCATGAAATTTTCGTTTTTGAATAACATGTCCGTGTCCAAGTGTCTGAAAATGAATGCAAACTTTAAAAGTTACCACTATTGCGAATGACATTTAACAAAAAACTTTCTCTTAGATATCTTTTCGTTTCTTCATTAGATGTTAGAAAAGCACTGAGTTTAAATAATTTCATAATCCCCTAACTAATTTATACGTACTCTTCATTAGGAATAAATTCCTTGGTAACTTCTCGGTAGAAACTGGCTCGTTTTGCTATGCAGATTGAGCTCTCTGTAACATATTAAAAGACATTTTTTCGTGTTGCAATTATAAGCCCCAGTGCAGCTTGAAAATGGTCGGGTATCGACTTTCGTCGAATAGTTTACGTTAGTAGACTGCCTCGTTGGCCGAGTGATCGCAAGTGCGACTGGCGGGCAAGGGGTCTCGGGTTCGATTCCCGGATCGGGCAAATCTGGAAATGTGCCCGGTATGTGGCAATAGGCTCACCCCTATTACATTGGACTCATAACATAAATAGTGAAAAGTGGGTGATACTTTTGTGTGTGCAACTCTGCCTACCTCTTCGGGGATAAAAGGCGTGATATTATGTTATGTTAGTTTACGTTACTGTACACAAGTATGGTCTTTAGTCATTTCTACGTCTTAAGATGATCAAATTCTTTTGGAACAGGACAGCTTAATACTTATTAGGAGATAGTCTAACTAAACTAAAGTTTTTTAGAAACTCACCTAACTCCCTACTTTTCTCTGGTTTAGCGTTGATAGTGCTCAACATTTTTGCCATCAAACTTGATGGCGTATCCATTGTATTGTTGTTGACTTTAGTGCGGAATTTCTCAATTTTTTTCTTGTTGCTAATTCTTGCTGAAACTATAAATTAATTTTACTAAAAATTTACATTCAAATAACCTTTGATCAATGAATTCGAAGTCTTTCTCCCATCGCATGCAAGGCAAAAAATGCTTTAATACTTTTCTCTACAATTATCGCTATCTACAACTCTTGGCAGTTCACTGGTGTACTACGGACCTCTTAACAGAACAATGCCGCCTGGTTTCTATCATATAGGGGGGAAAATCTTTCAATGTCTCCTCCCACCCGAGTGAGGCGAGACGAAGAATCAGACTGTTACTGACTAAAAACTACCGCGTTCCTGCTCTTCGAGCCCCAAAAACCTGTTAAGTCTTCCACGGTTCCGTATCGGGATTTACTGGGCCCCGTGGCAACAGCTCTACTGGGCCCCGTAATCTGTTGTGGTTTAATAGCTATTTGCTTGCGCGGAACTCGACGTGCCATAAGTTAGGGTCTGGTTCTGGGCGAAGAGCGAGCTCGACTGCTGCTTGTGGTGCAGTGCTTATAGAATCCCTAGTCTTGTCGGAAGAGTTATGATAAATGTATTCTATTCTGCCTGTTTTAACATACTCCGGTTTAGTAGGATGGTTACACTTACATTTAGATAAACGCCCAAATATTTTCATACATTTGTCAGATTTTTCTGGACAGGAACATTTAGTGTCTTGACACTCACAATGAGGATCCTGCTTTGGCGCCTCCCGCCATTGGAAGGGCAAATTCTTGAGATGTACCATCTAAAACAGGACATTATGTAAGACTAATTTTATTTCTGTTTAATGAACCGAAAAGAGCATAGATGAAGTTATTCATTTTTTATTTGTATCTAATTAAGCACAGTATTAATATATGTTTTTATGTGAAAGGGAGCTAACGGAACAAAAAAAACTGCTATTTGAACGATAATTATTACATCGAAAGAAGTAAATTTTAGACGCATTCCTTTTTTCCTATCGTTGGTCCGATTAGTTTTACTTACACCTACTATTTTATTAGTAGCGATCCGCTGTGGGCCTTTGGGAAATAAGAACGAATCGTTTTTCCCTTCAGCAGCCTTCTCCTTCTTATATTCCTTCTTCGACCATTCCAGTTCAGCTAGGAATGCCGATATCCGAAGGTTTCTCGTCTGTTTTATATCTTTTTTTTCAAAACACTCATCAGTGTCAGTTTCTATAACTTCTCGACTGCAACCTTTTCGCTTTTTTCTCCTTTTATGATTTTTCTTTTCATTAGCCGTTGGGCTATCTGACCTCTTTGATTTCATTAAACTGCTTTTAAAATTAGTCCAACGGCTAGAAAAGAATGTGTGAATCTCATTGATCCCGTGACGAGAGCCTTTCTTTTTATTTTTCTTCGTATCTTTTGGTTTTCTTGGTCGTTTCTGTTTCTTGTTCTTAGAATTTTTCTTTTTATTATTCTTGTCTGGGAGGGCTGTGCTATCTGTGTTATCTATAGAATTGTTTACTTCTTCAGTATTGTCACCGGGAGGATAGTCAGTATTCCCATTATCTGGAGTTATATCGTTATTGTAGCTTGAAACTTCCATGACGTCACTGTCACTACTCTTCATAAAATATTTCATAACACTCATTGTGCCATTAAAATCTTTAGTCAAGTTCATCTTACATTTAGTTTTATTATTTTTCTTGTTTCTTAAAATATTCTTTGTGTTTATTTGCGGTATAGTTAAATTGTATGAGTGTAACGTTTTAGTGAACACAATCGTCTTTCTGTTTGTTTCAGTGACATTGTGTTTCATTTGCTGTTCTTTGTATTGCCTGTGACTAGATTTCATATTTCTGTGTTTATTTCGAAAGAATTGTATCCTTCGTTGGCTAAAATTGTTCATCAATATATTTATTATCATACCACGGTTTCTGTCAGTATTTACTCCAACTGATTTAGTTTCATTGAACATATCTTCCATTTCGAAAGTGCTGGGATGAAAGTTATTATTTTCTTCAGGTATTACGTGGTACGTATTTTCTGATCGAACTTTTGTCACCCAGTCAAGGGTGTATTGCTTTTCTTTGTAACGTATTCTCAAATTACTAGTCAGACTGTGAAATCGTCTAAGAATGTTTGGAGCGGAAGAGCCTTGTTCATGGGTATTAGTAGGTATCTCGATGGCATCCATTAGTCCCGCTGGACCACTTTCATTGAAGAATTGCCAACGTTGATCGTAGCTGTGGGATGTATTTTTGAAATTTCTTCTATTTACTTCTTCCATTTGGAGTAGAGGTACCTGTTTGTAGGAAAATACAACATTATTTATTTGTAAAACAGTTCATTTATTTTATACAGATTTAGTTTTATAAAATTACCACCCCAAATCGGTTTTGGATTTTTGGAATTTGGATCTCGTAGGTCGATAATTATGTGTATGGATTTCCAAAAGCCGGGGTAACATAAGCAGCTATACCTTTCTTAGCTTCCAAGGAAGGTATGACAATGTGATCATTGTGGTATCCACTTACATTCTCATGCAATGTCTCTCCTCCTGGATCGCCGTGCTCACTGTCACTGTCATCAGAAGAACCTCTACGAATACAAAAATATAAATTATTATAATTTATGCGAAGTGAATGACAGCAGTCAGAAATTTGACAAGAGAATTGCTCAGAGAACGGGCAAGCAGTCTTTGATATCAATAATGGTATTTCGACATACCGAATATATTTGTATGTCTTAGCATAGACAAAACACAGCGCACTGTTATTTACCTTTAAGATCTGTATTTTTGTTATCTATGTTTTACAAATAATAAATGATTGATTGATTGATTGACAATTTTTGTCAACTCAATTCATCACATACTTTGTCAAATAAACTTTTAAGTTAACGTTTGTTGTATCTTACTTTTCCAAGCTGACATCACTGAGGTCCCCGTAGTCAGCAGGTGACATGCATATTGTGCATAATGCTCCAATATCTTGGAAGCAGCTCATGCAGTATATACCTGGACATCCACGAGTCTGACATCTGATAAAAATGGACGAAAAAATTTCAAATGTCACAAAATTTACAGCAAAAGTATTAGTAGAGGAATATTATAACTAGAAGGTAACTATGATAATATCGGAAACCAAAAACTCAATAGCACTTTTATTTAAGAAACTAGACCAAACCGCGACAGGTTCGAGGAAAACCAGTACAAAGTAACACTGTCTCTTTTGAGAAACAAAAGGGTTGCAGAATGGTACGACGATGTAGTGAAATGCTTTTTCTTTGACAAAATATTGGTTAAGATCTAACCTCGTGAGTTCAGATTCTGGTTCAATGGATGGGGTAATGCCACACAATAGACAATGTGGCTCCTTGTCGCTTAATCCCAGCAAGGACTTGAGGCACTGGAAGCTAAAGAAAGATATTAAATAGACTCTAACCAATGAGATGAAAGAAGCAGAGTAATACACAATAGCAGTTCCATCCCTATCATTTAGACGGCGCGACGCGAAACATTCTACCGATGCGACCTTTCAGAAAGAGTTTTTTTGACACCTATTCCATAAAAAATATCTTATTTGATCATTGGTGATCTTCGATTATTTACTCTGTTTGTATAACGTCCCAAAAATATAGAAGAAGAATAGACTGTTATTGTATATTTTTACTATTTTTGCAAAAACATCTTAGGTGACCAGTAAAGAAGAGGCAATATTGATGAAGTAAGAACTTACGGTATGTGATCTGCAATCCATTGACGAAACGTAAGCGATGCCCCTGAACAATATTTGTAGTCACGATGCAATTTTCTTCGAGCGAATTTCATAAAACTTGCTGAAACATAAGGTTCTTTCTTAACTAAACTAAATAATATAGATTGACAATCATTCAAATTATAACTAGGGATTTAAATTGAATTTAAAATACAGAAATATAAAAGATATAAGCCTACCTCTAGGTAGATTCTGTGAGAAACGAAACAAAAGATACAGGAATGAAAATTATATGTGTGATGATGATGTTGTTAATGGAAATGGAGAGAATAGAAGAAGCCAATTGCATTGATACTAAATGAGATTAAGTGGAAAAGAGCAATATAAAGAAGAGTAGCAGACGAATCAAGACGAAGTTTGATACGAACCTCTAGTTCTCAGTATATGATTGTACAACCAGGTAGCTCTGGCTTTAGCTCGCTCCGGTCTGTAATGCCCCATGATCAAATGCCGCAACCGAAGACCATACGGTTCGAAGAGAGCAAAGAACCATAGAAGGAAGATGAGAACTCCTGAAAAGGGTTTATGATTCTGCACTCTTTACCCGACTGTTTTAAAATTGTTTTAGTGAGAAAAAGTCTCATCATAATACTATGATCATCATATGCGTATATTATTATCCTCTATTGCAGGTGGTCATGAGCGGCATTGATCAGTTACCATCAGGTCTGTTACCATCCCGTCTGAACATTGGCACCTATTTCATAAAAAATAAAATTTTCAACAGTTTAGCCTTCCCTTCATTTTTACTTTTTGCACTTACATTATTTTTATTGCGTCAATTCCTAAAAGGCATTTACTCTTATATCCTGCTGTCATGCTGTTTCTTCTACCCCATTCAAATGCAAAATAAACAAAAATGACAGTTTTGATTTTAGGCCTTATAACTACCTCGCTTTGAAATCTTGGCCACCATCTACGGGAAATATTACGATAATTAATTTCACCTACCAATCTGTGTATATCTTCGCAAATCAGGTGGGTAGGGGTCAGGTAGGCAGGTTATGGGTGAAGGTGCTGGAAAGGAGAGCGGTATGTCCAGGATCCCTATGATGGAGCTGAACAGTCTTGCCACATAGCCACTGCCAGATACATGGGCTCCTGAGTGGGGGATACCAGCTGGGAACAAAATAATGATAAGTTTATCAGCTCTAAGATGAGATATTTTACATAATTTATATATTTCTTTGAAGCCTTATGGGATTATGAATACCATTATAAGGTAGGAATACGGGCTCATGACTGCGCAAAGTAAAAACCAAAAATGGACATATGAACGTCGATAAATTAAAATAAAAAGCGTCACCAAGTTGTCGGTAAGTCCTCTAGTGAAGTTATTTTAATACTCAATTCTTTATTGCTTTCGACATGTATGACTTAGGTGGTAAACATAATTAGGACACAATGTGGACCCGCCCTGTCGGGCACAACAATATAATAGAAGTTTGAAAGAGAGCACACTTTGACAAGTCATTAGAAGAGCAAAAAAATATAAGTAAAATATACCAAACGCAATACGTGATAAAATTAAGTCAAAATATACTTATTTTCTCGTTCCAATGTAGAAGAATGAGTGAGAAATCAACCAAAATGTGTATTTCACAACAACCTACGAAATGAAACACTTACGCATCAATTCCGTCTGATAGCTCCCATGGTAACGTATGGTCATTAGAACCCAGTAGAGGCTGTAGTCAGCCACCATGTGTATCAGCAGCTTGAAGGTAGTGATCGCCATGAACACTGCTGAACGATTCAGATATACTTTTTCTGAAGCTACTAGGCGAAAGGACGTCGTCTGCGAAAAATTGCATCATATCAACAGCCTATAAGTGGCACCTGCTAACCAAAGGCTTCTTCTCACACGGAGAAGGTTTGAGCATTAAGCACCACGCTTGCTCAATGCGGATTTCAAACTTATAATTAGAAATTATTAGCTCAGGTTTCCTAACGATGTTTTCCTTCACCATTTGTTAGTAATTTTATGACATCGTCGCCAGTAGTGGTAGGATATTGCAATTGAAGATTTAGCTCAGCGGCGTACTATCAGTAGCTAGGATCAAGACCTACCAGTCTTTTGACGATGAAAATGACAACTAAAGTATCGAACTTAATTTGTCATATTATTTTAAAGGGAAAGGGGAAACTCGTTTCTTTATTCTTTTATTAGTATCTGGTTGAAGTTTTCGTTACTATAATCACAATTTACTACACAGAATTCAATTTGATTGGGTGTTTTAGAAACCTTAAGAACATAATTAAATTTATTAATGATTACTAATACTATTAAACAATATCTTACATTGATATACTTAGCTCGCTCTCTCCTATTCAACGGAAGTACAGTCTCCCTTCCCTGCCGCTGTCTCTTCAAGTCCAGCTCTTGCAACTCCTTGGTGACGTAACGATTGTCGAAACGTGATCGAGTTTCGTACATGTGCTGGTAGTATTTGGCTCTGGAATTCATGATTATGGTTTTATTCACTAAGTCCTTTCACAACCGTTAATGGAAGCTATTTAACATTTATTATGCCTCTAGCTTCTGCCCGCGATCCCGTGGGATAAATGTAGCCTATGTATTATTCTAGACCATAATCTATCCCTGTTCCTTTCAACTTGATTCCTTCAGCCGTTTTGACGTGATTGAGTGATAAACATACACATACAAAATAAAAACTTTTCGCATTTTATAATAACTATCGTGAGACATAGGCACTAAATTAGCTGAAATCGCGGATTACTCACTCGTGGCGCTCGCATCGGTGTTGCTACTTGCGCTGCGAGCCCAACTGGGCAGCGGTTAGTGAACTGCGCGACGACGTCGCCGCGACCGCGCATGCTACTCATGAGGAAGAACCCCTCTGTGGTTCGAAACTAGTAGAGCTTTTCTCAGTATATTCACGTGAGTAACCCGCGATTTTAGTTAAACTTTCGCTTTTATAATATTAGGAAGATATTTAAGTGGATGTTACCATCTATATCGAGATGTTAACGGAATTACCTATGTACCAATAACGGTAAAGAAATTCTTAGCTTTATTCATTAATTTATCATTCTATGAAAAAGAAATTTCTCTAGAGCATTTTAAACTGTCAATACAACTTTGGCTTAATATTACGTAACTCTATTTGACAACTAGCTGTTGCCGGCGACTTCGTCCGCGTAGAAAATGAATTCTTTATTTTGATTTTCCAAAATAAAAGTCGCTTAAGTTACGCCTTAATCAGTCCAGCCATTCCAGAAATTAGCCAGTAAAAACAGACAGACAGACAGTCAAAAAATTGTAAAAAAAATGTTATTTTGGTATGTTTATCGTATGTATATTCATATGCATGTATTTTAATATTACAAAGAGGCACGCCAATGTGATTTATTTTTATAGATGTCTTATAACCGAATCACCACAAATACCTGAATATTATAAGCAGCAAGAACAAGCTAGTGACGCAGGAGCTCCAAGAGAGCCAGGTGAGCAGGGGATCTGCTCTGTTCCTGATCTCAGTGACGATGCCGGCAGCCACCTGGCTGGCAGACCGGCTGGTGTTGCTGCTGTACGAGTACGAGTGGTGCATATGGACTTCCACTTGGAACATCGCTCGGAGATGCTCACTAAAGTTTCTTAGTTCTGGAAGAGGTAGTAGCAGGGTAGTACATACATTGTCTCAAAAGGCCATCAGACCACCACGGATGGGGCCCAATAGGGCTGATGCCGAAACAGAGTCGCGGAGAGCCTAACGGGTTACCTGGGCCTTGGCTCGAAGTGTAGGAGTAGGAACGGGGTGGTTTTTAGCCAGTAGGTAAGAGTGTGACACTCCCTCCCGCCCCGCAAAATAAATGAAAAGGGATACATACAAACACAACTTCACGTCTGCCTCCCATGGGGGTAGGCAGAGGCTATGGAACGCCAATTGCTACGACTCCTATATACCTCCTTAGCTTCATCGACAGTCATCAATCTTTTCATGCATGCTCGTCGGTTAAGGGTACTTTTAATTTGGCCCTTCTTTTAGTAGCAGAGATTTTGTACCCCCATGGCATTTCAGTGATAGCTGACCGAATGACCGAAATAATGGAAAACTATATGTATATACGATGGCTAGCAGGTAAACCTGCACGCTTCTGTCAAATATCTCTATAACATCTTTAACTTTTTGGTATTGACATAAAGTCGGAAATCTAATGAGTAAATTTGACGATTGGAGTAAGTTGCAGCCACTGGCCTATTGGCTTTGACAGCGGTGTTAATCCCAACATAATTACTTATATCAAATGGCTGAGTGAAAGGTGGACCTTATACACTAAGCGAAAATCCGTTTACAAAGAACGTAGCACAATAATAAATAATATAAAAAATAAAATAAAATAAATTTATTCAATATTAAAAAAAATGCAAAATACAAAACATATCGTAAATACGTACAATTGTCCTCACAATGTTAAATGCCTGCACTAGGATAATCCTGTATCGCAGACGAGAGGAGTTCTAAATATAATTCTTATAGTAACAAATTTTATTTCTACAGAGCCATATACTTAACATTATACAACAGAAAACAATATGATTATTTTAATATACATACATACATACATATAAAACTAATCCTCATATAAAAAACTACTAAAACTATAATATACCTAATAAAAATATTGAAATAACAACTAAAGTAAGATTTGTTTAAAACAGCAACATTATGTCTATCGACGAGGAATTATCTTCATCAGCAGAAATAAACTAAGTAGGCTAACACTTAAGTCCATACGGTCATTCATTTGGTTGTGTTTGAGTAAGCACAAATGCTGGATAGCAACAAAGTGATGTTTAATCTAACATAATATGTAGTGTCACTGTTGTGCAATAAGGAGGCCAATCAACTCCAAGGGCGGATCCACCGTTGTGGGCACGATGGGCATGCCCACAACCTTAATAGACTTGTGACGTCACCTATTGAGATCGATAGGCTGATGATAATGAACGATAAGCTTTAATAAAATTTAAGAACACAATGAATCATGAAACGTGCGTGATTTGGAACGCAGCAAAGAGCCATAGACGATATGCTGACATGTTATGACTTATGTCACATTTTTGACAACTTATTGCCGTGCCGCCAAAACTTCGAGCCGCGTACCGAGGCGTCTGTGGCGCTACTTAATGAGGGTGCTTAAAAATTTTGAAACCGCTAGATGGCGTAACGTAGCCGTGAGGTCCAACTTCACCATGATTGTATTCAATAATGTCACTTTGACATGCTCTGTCAAAAATATCCAATCACAATAAAGCTGGACCTAATGTCTACGTAATGCCATCTAGCGGATTTGAAACACCCTCAAAATTATATAATTTGGAGGAGAGATTGTCTCCGGAGTAGTCCGGAGGTACTCGACCTATTTCATTTTTTCTACCAAACCCTAATGTGAGTATCAGGGACTGGGATATCGATATCGAGATAGTGAAAGTGAAAAAAGTGGTCCAGATGTACCGCCTATTCATTAACGATAGTGAGTCAACTGTCATAAATGAATACCGACTCTGGATGACCAAATGGAAAAGAAAATATAAGAACAATTCGGCCATACCAGACTCGGTAGCTCATCTCATTGAAGCATGCGACCAAGATTTGTACCCTAACATAAAAATTTTCTTACAAATACTGGCGACTCTTCCGGTCAGCGTGGCTACCGCAGAGAGATCTTTTTCTACTCTTCGCAGAATAAAATCTTGGTTGCGTGCCTCAATGGCACAGGAAAGATTATCCGGGCTAGCTCTCCTAAATATTCACAAAGATGTGAACCTGGATATTGATGACATTATTTAAACGTTTTCGCAAAAAAGAAACGTAAGCTTGAATTTGTAATTTAAGTAAGTACCTAAATAAAGTTGTTGCATGTGAAATGTTTCTAGCATTTAACTCGTCGAGTACCGGTTTTGTAGACACAATGGGGATGATGACAGGGTATGAAAATTAAAAATCTAATTAGTAACTTAGGTAATAAAAAAATATTAGACACGTATTTTTTTATTTTGTTGTATAATAAAACAATACTTAGATAAAACGAATCAATGTTTAGGAGTGGGGGCTAAAACGTCATTTCTTAGTATAAAATGTACTGAGAAGTGACGTCACGCGACATTTCAAATCAATATATCTTCGAAACTATTTGTTTCCGTAAGAAAATAAAAAATACGTGTCTAATGTTTTTAAATAATCTACCAGACGGACATTAAAATAAAAATTAGTCGTCTACCCCATTATAGAACAATAGGTTGCGGTCACCGGTGTCCGCTTGGTGTTTGACAGTTTAATTTAATTTAATATTCTTAGAAAATGTAAAAAATAATCAAAATCTCGCCTGTTGGATCTCACTTGCTGATCTCACTTACATTACTCCTGATACAACGTCAAGATACCTACTAATCCAGTCTAGTGTCTAAAAGAAAAAAATATAACTTATTGATTTAAATAGGTTTGGATCGAAACTGACTATTTGATTTGAAGAAATCGGGTCCGACTTCCTCCTAAGTTTGTTTCCTTTCCTAAGGCCCAAGTCCTGATGTTCAGAAAAAAGGAAATAATCTAATTCTAAAGTTCATAAACGACTTGCATGATTGATGATGACCATGTTCATGCTCCGACTCGTACTTAGCCGATTTTCTAGTAGCTGTGACCACAACCTTTTTTGAATGCTGGATCCGCGCTTGATCAACTCAGAAGTATGACGCATTACGCGCCCTCGTAATCAATCGAGTTGATATACCTGTGCTGAGCTATGTTCTTTGCCGGACACTCAGCGTCACCCGTCTTATGATTGTTGGGCTTATTAAACCGAGAGCATGTTGCACATTTAGGGGATTCTCCTTTTTTCGTGCACGCCGCTGTTAAACAATGACGCCCCTTTTTCGTTTTTTTTATAGCATAAGCCGGTAAACGAGCAGACTGATCACCTGATGGTAAGCAATCGGAGCCACCCATGGACACTCGAAACACTAAGGCGTTACAAGTGCGTTACCGGACTTTTGGGAATTGGGATTTTGAGGATTGTGGAGGATTCGGGGATTCGAGAGTTGGGGACTAGGGAGGTGGGTAATTGGACCTCCGGACCTCACTTATACGACAAAACACAACGCAAGCGTTATTTCACTTCGGTTTTCTGTGAGGCCGTGGGTATCACTCCGGTCGAACCGGCCCATTCGTGCCAAAGCATGACTCTCCCACACTTATCGTTGATTAGATATCGATAATATTGACAATGCTCACCAACCACACAAGCCTTACCTTGCCTGCATAATTGGCTCAAACTGGCTTGTACCTAGACACCAGCAGAGCAGCACTAGCTAATAAATTTGCGACATTATCTCAAAACGACAAGGTCGAAAATCCAATACAGACTGCTAAATCTATTACAGTTCATCTCTGTACGCGGTTAAATGGAGTTTCCTAAACGGATCACGTTTGAATTGGTTGGAATGCGATGAATTTGCGACGAGCCAGTTACCTACTGTATCTACTTAGCCAGATAGGTTGATTGATGCCTTAGTAGTTGTGATCACAATTTCGAGCGATTTCGCTTGAATTCAGTCTCATGACTTGTAAAGAAGAATTAGTCCATATTATTAAGTTTCGATGTCTTTGTTATAATCATCATTTTCAAGCTGAAGCAAGTAGATTACAATTTACAATATAGAAACGAGTCAGCTTCCGTTATCGTTAATAACGGAAGCAGACTCGTTTTCCTCATTTCAAGTGGTTGAATCTATTTTGAATTTGAGATTCACAGTTTTTTGAATGTGAACACGAGGACCATGAGAAAGAGACTGCGAGAACTTGACTGCATGGTTCGTGCGGTGGCTGGGCGGTGCAACGTGTCGCAGGTTCGATTCCCGCACGGAACAACACTTAGATAGTGTGATCCACAAATTGTTGTCTCGGGTCTGGGTGTTATTGTGAATGTGTGCAGTATGTATAGTACAAATACACACAATGGAATAGTGAAATAGAGAATCTATGAAATAAACAATAAAATTAAACTTACTTTTCTTAACGCTCGCCAGAATCGCGTCATCCATAAAGTCGGTGGCGTAACAAAACGCTTTGAAGGGTTTCACGGAGTAGCACGCAGCTTGGGCCACGTAGGCCACATCGCATAGCTTCGAGAGCCCAGGGCCTAAGTGCTTCTTGCAGTCAGATATACCTTCCTTCATGGCACTGTTGCAACGCTCGTATGGTGTTCCAAGCTGAGCGTTGCAAATGTCTGCTACTGATTGTAGCCAGGAGAATGAAGACTGGATGATGCTTACTGGAATGATTTTAAAGTTTAAAACTCAAAAGTGGTGCTGAAAAATGGATGAATATATACTAGAATAAATAAGGACTAGCATGGAATTGTCGATTTGTTAGTTACGTTATTGTGTATTTAGGGCCCATATTTCATAAGTTAATTAACTGTAGAATAAAATTGTCATTTCACAGTTCTTAGTATGGAAGAATTGTCAAATAAGTATTCAAAGTAATCCATCACTTAAAATTTATCTGGCATTGGCAAAATCGGCTCTTAACGTAAGGAATTAGACAAAATCTGCTAAAACCTCTTGGGAATACCGTACGAATTCTGTAAGAATCAGGACCTTTTTTTTTGAGGCGGAAAGTCATCCAATCACGTCTCCTGCCTTGGGTTAGGCGAAGGGAGTTTTAGACTCTTACTGACTAAAAACCAACCCCGTTCCTACTCGTGCTCTTCGAGCCGGAGCCCCGGCAACCCGTTAGGCCAGCCGCGGCTTCGTTTTGGATGAATTATGAACTTAGGATTTTAATTCCAATGCCAAAAACATCGAAGAAAGCAAAACATAAAGAGTATGATAAGAACATATGGAAATTACAAAATCAGGAGATGATATTTTTTTAATGGGACAAGCCCGCTACAACCTTCCGAAACCACTGCAACTCCTGTAAGCCAGGATCTACAGTAGATGCAACCATGAAAACACCGGAACACTGAAGTCCGGCGCGTCCCAGGGACATGAATAACTGTTTTGGTTCCCGCAACGAAGTGAATCAGAAGATATTATAAGAGGAGAAGAAAAAAAACGATAGTTTCCACTTCCCTCGGTGAATTGCTACAGGAGACAGAATGAATTAAGGAGATGATAATGCCTATTAGAATGAAATGAAAATATCCTTTATTATAAATGAAATGGTTTGATGATTTACTTCATTCACATAGTCAATTTACGTGGACATTCTACTCTCCTGCCTACCTAAATATGTTTACTACTAACTCATAATATGTCCTCAATCCAAACATGCGAAAGTCCACATGTCATGCTACAAAGATCGATATTTTATTTATCAAGAATTGTGGATAATATCAGGTTAAAGACAAGTGTACGTGTACCTACGTGAACTGCAAGTTATATGGGAATTTAGACATACGTTGAAGAAGGTACCTAACACTTTATTTTTTGATTCTGTGTCGGTAAGTAACTACCTACTTAAGCATGCCCACGACGATTATTTAATGGTTACTACGCTGGGCATAGTAAGTACCCAACACTGGTTTGAGCAGTTGGCAACAGTTGACACCACTGCAGCGACGCACGGACGGAAGCAACGAAAAATAATTTGAAGGAAAATAATACGATTACATAAAACACATGTTAAAAAAAGAAAGAAATGACTGCGTCGTTGGCCGATTGGTCGCAAGTACGACTGCCCGAGAAGGGGACTCAGGTTCGATTCCCGGATCGGGAAAGTATAACTGGGTTTTTAAAAAACAATCTCAGTAGTAGGACGAAGTCTGGAATTGTGCCCGGTATATAGGTTCAACCCCTATTACATGGGGCTCATAACATAAATAAATGAAAGGTGGGTGTTTCATTGTACATTGGCAATAAGTACCGTAATGTGAACTCCTGCCTACCCCTTCGCGGTAAAAAGGCGTGATGTTATGCTATGTCCCTAAGCACACCACCAACTCACCAATACTTAGAACCAATCGATCGAGTTCCACGACTGTCTCCTTCACCTTCGCCGTGATCATCTTCAGCCGGTCCACCATCACCTTCAGTGAATCCTTCATAGTGGTGAACGGTTTCTTCATCAGGTCATTCAGTTGGTGCACGCTTGCTTTTATTTGTTCCTGAAGTCAAATTATTTAGTATAGAAGCCGAATGAATAGATAATAAAGACCACAGAAATATTAAATATCTGTGGTAAAGACTGAGGATAGAGACTACAGGCAATGCCTAGTTCAGGAGACAGAGCTTGATGTATTTAGATGTTGGTATTTGAATAAATAATAATTATTAAAAAGAAAGAAAAAATATGCTGTTAACTGCTGTTTATGTTTTGTATTAGTTATTATTTCATCTTTGTTGGCTTTATAATGTTGTGAATGTTTAAAAAAACATTCATAGAGACCTCTCCTCCACAAAAGACGTCTTTGCCATAATGTCTATGCTTGGCAGTCGAGATGGAGATTGCAGTCAAAAAGAAGTTTCTCAGAGCGCTACTGCATGATCTGTATTAAATTTGGACCTACATTTGGGACCTAATTTCTATAAGTTTGAAATCGCCAACCCGTATTGAGCAAGCGTGGTGAATAACGCGTTTGCTCAGCAGTGGGCACTTATAGGGCTGTTGATTGGGCTCGCTGCCATCGCAGCGGTAAGTCCCCTCTTTGAGGAGTGGCTTGAGAGACGCTACGGCGTCCTCACCTACCGCCTGACGCAGGTCCTCACCGGACATGGCAGTTTCGGGAGGTACCTATCTGTGTCTGATGGGGCGGGAGGAAACGCCCGGGAACACACTGTAGCGGAATGCCCTGCGTGGGCTGAGCACCGCCGTGTCCTCAGGGAAGTGATCGGCGATGGCGACCTCTCGCGTCCGGGCCTAGTGCAGGCCATGATGCGGAGCGAGGGGGATTGGGATGCCGTCTCCTCCTTTTGCGAAGCAGTCATGCTAGCTAAGGAGGAGGCGGGACCCGTGAGGCAGCGAAGCGCTGCCTCCTCGCAACCCAGCCATCGCGAAGGACACACCGGGCGTCGGGGATCGCGGGACGATCTTCGGCCACCGTAAGCGCGGGCCTGCGGACGGCGAGCATGGGTGGCTCCCCGTCCGACCAGAAACAGACCCGAGCGTACGGCGCGTCGCGTTCCGCGCGCGCCTCAAAGAGCCATCAGACCACCACAGATGGGGCCCAATAGGGCCGATGCCGATTCGGAGTCGCGGAGAACCTAACGGGTAACCGGGGCTCCGGCTCGACGAGCAGGAGAAGGAACGGGGTGGTTTTTAGTCAGTAAGAGTCTGACACTCCCTCCCGCCTCACCCAGACAGGAGCAATCATTCGATGATTTTCCCCCCTTAAAAAAAAAAAAAATAGGGCTGTTGATGATGTGACCTTGCGAGCAAAGAAACGGAATCACTAGCGTATTTTATTTCATTTTAGCCAACCCTCTTTATCTTTAAAAATATGATTCTGTTAAAATAACATTTTATACGACTTTAATACGTTACCAATTCATGAAATACTTGTGTTAGAAAATGTCTATCAAGAAATGAAGAAGAAATAAGTCGGCTTAAAACGCCAGGTTCCGTTTCTTTGCTCTCAAGTGTATGAAGTCCCTTACATCAGCCATTAAATAATTATTACCTATGCTTATGTTCTACTAAGTTCTTTGACTGGTTTTTGGTGTTACATTGTTCTCGCACAATCAAAGCAATAAAACTGTGTAACTGGATAATTGTATTGTGTACCTGATTGGAAAAGAGTAACCTATAGAGTTTCTTGCTCGTTCTTCTCCATAGGAATCTACACCTAGGAATGAGCAAATAGTTTCGCTTTTAAATTTCTATTGCTGACGTTCAAAAGTGCCTTCCTGGTCTAATTGAAATAAACGATTTTGACTTTGAGTTTGACTTCTGCATTTACTGATTGTATATATCATAAGCTTATTTATTTATTTATTTATCATTTTATGTGTACCACACAAACAATATTACATAGGACAACACATTATAAACATGAGGTACATAGGTACTGCATATCCCTTAAGGGATTTCTTCCTGCAGACCTGCGACAGGAAAAGGAAATTAAACATAAGACATAAGACACAGTGTAGATAGATAGATAAGCTTATGATTTTCATATCAAAAAGAGCTTCATATCTTTAAGTATTTTCTATTTATGTAAGAACATAAACGCTTCTACGTAACAAATATAAAATAAGTACCTACATAGACAATTTAAGACCGTTTTCGTAGACAGCAGTAAATCAAAATAAAATGTTTTTCACAGCGTTTGGGTAGCCCAGACGAAAGTTATGAGGTTAAGCACCTAACATGTTTACCAGTTATTCCAAGTTTTATAATTTATTAATGTCTGGCGACCCCTCGACACTTTGAATACCTTCTAGACAAGTTTTGTAGGGATTATCGTAGAGTGAGATAAGGGAATGAGCTGACGTTGGAAGCATTTAGTCATTTGATTTAAGACTATTCTCAGTTATATGTATGTCAGACTGCCTCGTTGGTGAGTGGTGTCTCGGGTTCGAATCCCGGGTCGTGCAAAGTATTACTTGGTTTTTAAAAAATCTCAGTAAGTAGTAGCACGGAGTCTGGAACTGTGCCCGGTATATGGCAATAGGCTCACCCCCTATTACATGGTACTCATAACATAGTGAAAAGTGGGTGTTACATTGTACAGTGGTATAATGTGCACCTCTGCCTACCCCTTTGAGGATAAAAGGCGTGATGTTATGTTATGTGTATGTATGTCTTAATTCTATATTATTATTGCTATGACGCGTCCATAATGTTCTTACAGGGTACATAAGTATGTAGGTACGTCACAATTTAATAAAATAATTGTTTAAAAAAAAACATCCTATCGCGATTGCAGATTATAATAACTCCCTTTATCGTGATTGCTTTCTCTTGAATATGGTACCTATGTTAGATGTATGCAATAAAATTACAAATTACTAACTAGGAGCCCCAACGCTCTCTTCAATAGCCGTAATTTCTTTTGAAGTGGAAAGGAGAATATTATTCCTATCATATTTATGTTAGGTACTTGTAGCTATAAAAGAATAGTAATCATATTTCTATATGTATGCGCCGCGTGCGACCATTTTGTCTCAATGAAGTGTGAGAGAGCCATGCTTCGACACGAATGTGCCGGCTACCGAAGTGATACCACGGCCTAACAGAAAACCGACGTAAAACAACACTTGCGTTGAGGGTAACGGAGGCCCAATTACCCTCCCCCTCCCCAATCTCCCCAATCCTCGAATCCCCAAAAATCCTCGACTTCCTAGTTGCAAAAACACCTCTCGTTTCGGGTGCCAATAGGCGTGTCGACAGGGTAAAAAAATCAAAAAAGTAATTAGTCCGTCATTAAGATCGCACGAAAATATCAGACACGTATTTTTTGTTTTATCAAATTAACAGAAGAATACGTAGTTATTCCGCATTAAAGTTAGGGAGTGGGGGGTGTTGACGTCACACTTACGGAGAAATCGTACTTAATTGTGACGTCACGCGTCATTTTAACTCAAAATATCTACATGTTTTTTTGGATACGAGAAAAAAGAAAAAATACGTATCGAAGATTTTTAAAATATCTAAAAGACGGACAAAAAATTAAAAAATAGTCGCCATGCCCATTGGTGACACCGATTACTTACTATCAGGTGATCCGTCTGCGCGTGTATACTGGTTTTATAAAAAAAAAACTAACAAAATAATTGAAGTAAGGTCCCTTGTCGATAAATCTAGAACATAATCTTTCATCCAAGGGTTTCCAGTCCACTCACTTGAGAACAAGCCATAGATTCAGATAGTACTTCCGAGTTCTTCAAGGTATTAGTAGCAGGTCCTGTCAGGATGAGAACCAGGGCATAGCAGGTCAGGGTGTATCTTCCGACGCGGGAGAAGAATTGAGGGATCAGCAGGAATACTAAACATCTAGGATGAAAGAAAATATCTGTTAATAACTGAAGCTTGTCTTAATTTTTTGGGTAGATATCTCTAACTTGAATTTTTCCATTATCATTATTCCATGCACTGCTGAACATAAGCCTCTTTAATGGCACACGACATTGTTAACACTTACAATTACATTGTTAACAATAACACCTATATGGCTAAACCGATAAGGTTGAAAATAAACAAACTTACTGCACGATAGACCACTATTGAATTTAGTCATATACTATTAAATACATAAATGCTAAACGAAAGTGGATATATAAGGAAATTACGAAATTAGGTGAGACCAATTTCATAAATATGTTAATGCTTTTGGTAAACAGAAGTGTCTCATACCTTATTCTGTAACTGAAAGCCAGTCCTAAGGTGAGAAGAACACCAATGATGGAACTCATGATGGTAGCATGGATGAGAGATATGGAGAGCTGGAAGACGAAAAACATAAAACACAAATACGTCAGTATTATGCCGCCCACAAATCCCATCACACTCTTCAACAGAAAGTTGGGAAATGTCTGATCCGTTCGTAAATACAAGAAAAAATTTGCAACACTACTGCCCTCAGGATACCATTTCTTGAATGTTCTTGAAATCCGTTTTTTTGTATCACGTCTATAGTGGCTCCATCTTTGGGATAATGTTTGTTCCATTTGCGTATTTCCCAACACTATAGAATTGATTTTTTCTCTTTCATAGTTTAGTCTGTATTTTTCGATTGTTCGCGCCTTCCATAGAAGGGCGAAAAAAGCCATGGTGGATGGCTTTTTATTTAGCTTTGAATGCTAAAATCCTCGTCTTGGTATAGACGAAACACATTTTTAGTGAATCTATAAAAACATCACGTTCATACAATGAGTAATGACATGACAGCGGACTGTTGTCATTTTTCTTTTTATTCTTCTATGCCAGTTCGAAATCAGCTGCGGTGCAAAGAGTTCTTATTTTAAATTTTAGGTACGAACCTTATCCATTTATTCCAGATTGGGTCATGTTTTCTTCAGTGAGTGGCTGAGCGAGCGGTAGCTGTGCAACGTGTCGCGGGTTCGATTCCCATACGGAACAATTTTTTGTGACATTCACAAAATATTTTTGTGTCGTCTGGGTCTATGTGCGCTATGTATATTGTGAAACTATGTGTTTGTAGGTAATATGAATATTACTTTAAAAGAATCAGATATAGTCAGGACCTCCACTTCCACAGGAATTACAATTGTCACTATCTAACAAACTATTGCAATAATTAAACCAGTAGGCACTAGCATTCCTTACTAGATTATTTAGTTTTTATTAACCTACATGATATGCTCAAATTCTAAAGCTATGTACCTACTTACGTTAGTCCATAACATCGTCTCCTAACTTATATGAAGTAGGTAATACAACTTTTAGATAGAAGTTCTGTAGTGCGATAAAGTGACAATATAAAAAAAAATATTAGTGAACACTGAACGCGTCCATAAGAGCTGCAAAGAAAAGGAAGTATTTATTTACAATTGGTACGTGTTTCATTGTACACTGTAATTGTGCGTATTGAGTTGCTGCTGTATTCAAGATATTCAAAAGTTCAACAATAGCGACGAAGTTCGTTGACTTAAAATTGTCAATAACAAAATTAAAATGAACTTGCCCTGTACACGGTCTCACAGTTCTGCGCAAGACGTTCAACATGCGCAGATCACTGCAATGCTACAAAATCAACTTCACTCCATTGCCTCAAATATCGTGAAAAGATAATCTTTTTTGGAATAATACCTAAACGGCATAATGCAGATTTTGTTCAGTATTAGTAGTTATTAGTTAGTGTTAGTGAGTGATAATGTTCAAATAATTTGAGTGTTCACAAAGGTTTTCAAGTGTATGAATCAATTAAGAATTCATTGAAGATATCGTAAGTGAATTAAAGTCTTACTGTATCATTCTGTCAATTTTATAAATGGGGATCGGTGTAATTATATTACATAAATATATAAAATATTGGAAGGACTATAGTAAAATTATTTTTCAATACTTTTTTCCCGACATTTTGAGGACTTTTTTCGTGGTTATACAATCTACAAGCTATAAAATAAATCTGCATAGTCATAAAGTCAGTACCAGACATCATAAAACTTGTTCACGATATCGTTTTCAAGAAAAGATTTTAATTTAACAAAGTACAATACATGTACCTAAGTTTAAAGGACAAAAGAGGTGGATGATTATAATTATTATATTGAACGTGATTTTAATTTTTCGTTCTCAAAATTAGTACTGTCAACCAATTGTCAAAATTGATTTGACATTTTGACTGTTTTTGACAGCAGTTTGTTTTTAATTTTCAGGATTCGATTGTTTTGAAATAATTTTGTTGTTTTGTTTTCTTTTGTTTTAATTAAAACATTTCTTGGTTTTATTAAATCATTCAATTTTGCTTGGATATTGTGTGAAAATATCAAATATTGGTAAATGATATCAGCATCAATCTAGTCGCATTTACATCCTAGATTTCTAAAAGCTATCGTTAAGTCATGGGAGGCAGCAACTTATGGCAGACGACGATTCAATATAATATTTCTATTTATTATAGTGTAAAAATGAAGCCTCATAAAATAAACATTGGTATGTAGCTTTTTAACTTAAACAATTATTTTATTTTATTTTCTCAGTATATTACTCAAAGATATTACAGCCAGGGATTTAAGGGTTGAGGATGGAAGAAGGAAAGATTAGCTTGCCGGTAAGAGGTTACCGGCAAGCTAATCTTTCCTTCTGGGTGAGGACCCACCTGCCGAAAAACACCGTGTGCATTATTGTTTCACGCCGGTTTTCTGTGAGGCCGTATTCTCCGGTTGAGCCGGCCCATTCGTACCGAAGCGTTGTTCTCCCACATTTAACACCCAATATGAAATACTTTAATCAAAAAATATAAAGCTAGCTATATGTTCTTTTTCCACTCAGATCATGGACAACGAGCAGCCTCACCAGGAGTTGGTGAAGTGTGTGGTGGTTGGAGACACGGCTGTGGGCAAGACTCGGCTGATATGTGCCCGGGCATGCAACAAACATGTCTCACTGTCACAACTCATGACCACACATGTACCAACTGTGTGGGCTATAGACCAGTATCGGATATACAAAGATGTGAGTATTAGATATCATATCATTTTAATTTTTTTTTTAAAGGTGCTGTCACACTTGACTTTTTTCTCGTTATTGTGGATGCTCTGGATGCATTTACAAACATAACAGTTCATATGAACATCACACTTCGACTCTGGAATCTCTCTACAATTTGTGGATCACACAAAAAGTTATTCCATGGGAAAATGAAACCCATGATACTCTTGTGCAGTGCGGTGACCCAGTTATTGCGTTAACCATTTAACCAAATACATACATACGTACATAACTTCTATGGAATGCCAATTTGACGATTCTTACATACCTTTTTCACTTCATCAACAGTCAACAATCTTTTCATTTTCATGCATGCTCGTCGGTTATAGTTGTTTTTAATTTGGCCTTTCTATAATATATCACCAATCTGGTCAGTATATATGTCTGTCTAGGGTGCCCTCTACTGATTGATATCTGCTCTGACCGTGCGAGACTTTGCCTCACCATTTCTTTTCTAATTACCCATTTTCTGACAGTTTGAGTATTTGTGCGACCCACGCAAATGTTCTTTAGGTTGGTGTTGTTCATCGAATCAGTCAGCCTCACCTGTTAATTGAGCTGACTGTAAACCGACACATGCGTACTGCCTTCAGAACGTGTCCACTTAAACTGTTGTGGTTCTTTTCTCAAAAGCCCACTATAGAAAGAACTGGCACGGTTCTCACACATAATCTGTTATACATATTGTCTGGACTTTAAAAGAGACAGACCTCTGAGTTTGTTTCGGTATTTCTTCTCAGAGTAGTCAGTTAGGAAATGTCGACCACACTTTTACACGTCAATTTTATCAAGTGAACGACACTTTATAAAATTGACGTGTAAAAGTGCTGCCTTGTAGCCTATTTGCAGAAATAAATTGACTTGTTTCACTTGTTTCACTTGTATACTTCTTTCGTTACTCTACTTCCATCTATCCTTTCCACTCCATCTATTTAACCAAATCTGAAGAATATTGTATAAGTCTGATCTAACCATAATAAATTTTTAAGGTTTGTGGCTGGATGGTCTGTAATTAATTTACTTTCTTTGTGAACAGGTGCTAGAAAGATCTTGGGAAGTGGTTGATGGTGTGAATGTATCACTGCGTCTATGGGATACCTTTGGAGACCATGAAAAAGATAGAAGATTTGCTTATGGAAGGTAAAACAATCTTTGTTCTATCTATTTCTCGTTATGTGAAATTTTTATCAAATTTTTGTTAGACAGAGTGGTTCCGTCCAACTAATCAAGGTCACCTTTAGTGGTTTGTCTTTTATCATGAAACAAATTCATCCAAAAATTTGTAGAAATGTATACAATGCTCCCGAAACGCTGACAAAAAGAAATTGATTTTGTTTTCGTGTTATTCATGCAACATCAGTGTTGAGCAGTAGATTACAACTATTATTACATTAAAGAAACAATGAATTCTTTCATCGTCATCATCATCATCATCATCAGCCCGTATTCGTCTACTGCTGGACATAGGCCTCTCCAATTGAATTCCTTGCTCATGAAAATAAACCTTGTTTTTTACCATCACCTGCATTTTTCGAGAGCGTTTTGTTACACCCTATAGTATAAGGCCTATACAGTGACCACTCTAAAACTAGTTTTTATAGGCCTACTAGGCCAAGACAAACTGGTCAAAGAAAAGGACAGAATAACTCCGTAAAGGTACCTTAGCAGTGATGTGCTACTTGTAAGTCTTACTATTTCTTGATATTTGCTTTCAGGTCGGATGTAGTTCTTCTCTGCTTCTCCATAACAAACCCCATATCTTTGAGAAACTGTGGGGCTATGTGGTATCCGGAGATTAGGTAAAGTATAATTCATCAATACAGACTTTAATAGACTTTTTCACACATGCATGAAAAGATTGATGACTGTTGATGAAGCGAAAGAGGTATGTAGGAATCATAGTAATTGGCGTTCCCTAGGCTCTGCCTACCCCCATGGGAGACAGGCGTGAAGTTATGTATGTATGTAATATATTTTTACTCTTATTATTGTGAAGATATAAAGTTGAAAATTGCATGAACAGTTGTTAAAAAACATCTTTTTAAAATATATCTTTGTTATTTGCTTTCAGACGATTCTGCCCTAACACGCCGATTCTATTAGTGGGATGTAAGAACGATCTTCGCTACATGTATAGAGACGAAACATACCTAAATTACTGTAAAGATCGCAGTCCTTTTATTAGGTAAGAGTTTTTATATGCACTACATGTAATAATTACTGTTCCATCTTCAAGCGGTCTCTCGGTTCTCTCCTCTCCATTATAGACCTTATTTCCGATGTTTAGAGACTACCTTTGTATGAACATGGGGTACGATATATCAATGTATTAACAGTAACTAATTAAAACTATTATTTTGGCTTTACAATAATAATAAGTGTCCATTTTATGTCTTATATTGAAAAATACAGTAATTCATTTAGATCCAACCTAGCTTCACCTAGCTTCACTGACAGACTGACTGACAGACTATTATTTATTTTGTATTTGTTGACGTTTCAAAAGTACCAAATTATGGTTTAATTGACTTTGTTCTATTGATTCATGGTTGTAGGTACAGATTATTCACGTTAGTATTCAACGAGTTTGTGCGACTCTCGCTACTCATGTCTAAAGGCCCTGGCGTGGTGTGGTAACTAGTCGAGTATTCTCCATTGGATTAAACTTAATTTATTATTGTTTC